AGTTTAATTTGGAACTGAAACCAGTTCAAATTAAAAAATGATGGAACAATAACACAAGTGGAGCTCCAAGTTATTGAGTTATATTTCCATTTTCCATGCGTACCGTACGTTCCCGGGCCGTATCTGCACTTTTTAATAGTTTCCATTTTTTGGTAATTATTTTAAAGTTTCAGATACTCGTATCCTGACGGATACCTGTATCAATTTTTTTTTTTAAAAAAAAATCCATTTTTTTAAAAAAGAACAACTCAAAATTTACATAATAAAATTCTTAAAAAATGAAAAACAAAAAATAATTTTTACCTTGCTTTTATGTGGTACACAACTAATGAGCATATTTCTAATTCACCCATCCTCATATCCCTAATTCTAATTATCTCTAGAAATTAATAGCTCCAACGCAAATATGTATTGGAACTTTTAAAATATTATTTTCTAACTTCTTTAATTATTCTAAACTTTTGAGTACTTACACTTTTAATTTCAAAACTGTAGTTGTTTTTGACTTATTTCTTGTTTTAAGTCAATAACTTATTGACTATATTTATATTTCGAGGTGCACTAGTGTATATGAAATAAGATATGAATTTATTTCTAAGAATCGTCTTTAAAATGTAAAATGCTTCAATATCATGAATAAGTAGACGTCAGAGGATAATATATGTCAATTTTTTTTTTTAAAAAAATGTATTTTTATTATTTTAAAAAACACCACTGTAACTTTTAATATTTATAAATACACCCCCATAACTTTTAATATTTGTAAATATGGCCTTGTATTTGTATCCTACTTGTTTTGGTTTTGTCGTATCCTCATTTCCGCGTTTCCGTGTATCCGTATCGGTGCTACAGTTAAAGATTGATGAAGAAGATTCAATTTGAGTACAGTACATAAAACAAAAACCCCTTTGCATTAAATGGAAAATGGGATAAAGGTCAAAATCATAAATTTAAAGTCAAAGAGGACTATCGAAGTGGCCCGCAGCCCCGCACATAAAGATTGATTAAGAAAGAAATCTGTTCAAAGAGGAAATCGATACTTTTATCCTTTTAATCATGGACTGCCAATTCGAGGAAGCAACACAAACGCAACAACATCGGAAAGATGTCAGTCATGACGTTTATGCGTTACATGTACATCCTCTCAAAACATTCAAATTTCACCAATAATAATAATAATAATAATAATAATAATAATAATAATAATAATAATAATAATAATAATAATAATAATAATAATAATAATAATAATAATAATAATAATAATAATAATAATAATAATAATAATAATAATAATAATAATAATAATAATAATAATAATAATACGGAGTATAAAATTATGGGAAATAGAAAAGATAAGAATCATACGAGTAAATTGATAAGAATCACAAGTTATACACAAATTGTACACAAAAATCTCTAGTTATTTGTGTACACAGGGGCACGACTTGATGTCAAATCCACCTAATTGCCTGTGCACACTGGCAATGTACAAATTTTGGGTACATCTTGTGTACACCAAGAATAGCCCAAAGAAAAATGACAAAAAAATTTGGACAGCAAAAAACAGCAATGATGACAAAATCAAGGGACGGAGGGAGTATATGAAAAACGGAGAATTTCTGACATCCTTTTTTGCACATACATTAAAATGTGTATAATGTATAGATCATTTTTGCATGCTGAGACGCATAATTTTGTACATTTTTTAAAAGTTGTGTATTTTTTCCTCAATTACCTATACATATAGACAATTAATATACATGCACAAAAAACGTATATATGACATGTATAAATGGATTTTTTTCTTTCGTATTGGAACATAAAAATGCTAGGTGTACACATTTACATATCATATATAAGGGTTCAATTTGTTTTTACCCTATAAGGGTTCAATTTTTAATTTGTAGGTCTTCCTACTCTCTTTTTGTCTTTCTTCATTCTTTCATTTTCATTTATACTTCCTATATCTTTCACTCATCTTTCTTTCTCTCCCTTTGTTTCATTTCCCTTTCTATTCATACTCCATCTTAATCAATATGTTTCACCATCAACTTCACATTTTTTTCCTGTGCATCAAAAAATATAAATGAAGTTTGAGAGTCATTGAAAAATCACCGGAAAATCATAGATGAACAATACACCAGACAGATTTTTTCTCCATCATCTACAAAATATTGTTTGTGTCGTGCTAAATACTAATGTAATTTGTTTGAGGAAAAATGAAAGCCAAAAACTAATACTCCCTCCGTCCCCCTATAATTGTCCCATTTTTTAGTTTAGGATGTCCCCCTATTATTGTCCAATATCATATTTGGTAACATTTGTGTGACTCTAATTCATTCTTACTTTTATCAACTCATTGTCAATCACATAATACTACTTTTGTTAAAAACCACACAACTCCCTTTTGTCCCAATTTACAGGGATGGAGGTAGTAATATTTTGTAAAATTACGCCATAGAAATAAAATATATGTATATAAAACACAGGTTTGCATGTTATTCACATCAATAGTGCACATACTTAAGTTTTATGTGTACACTGACAAAAATGTTACACACAAACAAAATATATATAAATACAAACATTTTTTGTACATATACAAACAACTAATGTATGTGCACTCTTTAATGGGATTGATGCACATAAGCATTCACATTTAAAAAAAATACAAACCAATATGATTTACGCGTAAACCAATGTCGCTACATACACATTAGTTGTATTCATATGAACATTAGTTTCCTATATAAGGGCAAAAAATGTTTGTATAGAGAATTAGTTGTCTGTATACATTAGTTGTTTGTATGTAGATATGTACGTACCCACACATTTTTTGTCAGTGCCCAGACATTTCTTTTAGTAAAATCTGGTTTTTTTCACATACAAAAAGCTTATTTTAGCTTCCAGACCCCTCCCCGTTCATCCTTCGTTGGAGTTGTTATCTATGCCCTGGGGAAGTACACAAACAGTGGGGTATATAAGCGAGATTTAGCCTTCATGTACATATGAGCAATAAATACCCTATACAAAAAGTTTAATTTTGACCAAGAGGTCATATACTAACCAGACAATACAAATATCTTATAGTTAAAGATGAAATTAAAGATTAAGTTATTAGATATTGCTAGAAGGACTTACAACAATGATGATTGAGATGATATTATACTAAACATAAACTTGAGAAAGACCAGTTAAATATATAGATAAAAGAATAATGGACCTTTGGGGGTCTACCTGCAAAATAGATTAGAGTACATCTAATATTCAAACATTTCCAACCAATGTTTAAACATTAGCCTTCATCATCAGTATCATGCCGCATAGTAGCTCGGCTACCTGTATTCACATGGCTCCTCAAGCCTTCAATAGCTCAGCCTATCATAAGTTCACTTTCCATAACCAACACATTAAGTCAATTGGTTAAAAGTTATACACAAATTTCTTATCCTACTATTGCAGTTAAAAAGCTAAGAATTAAACTTAAATGAGGTAATCAAGAATCAAATGACGTCATCAGGGAGTGTTTGCAATTGCTTCAACTTTAAAAAAGTGATTTTTTAAAGTGATTTTGGGAAAAGTGATTAATAGTAAAAGTTGGTAGTGTTTGAGAAAAATGTGATTCTGAAAAAGTAAAAGTTGGTAGTGTTTGGTAAAATAAGTACTTTTTGTGTAAGAAAAAGTGAAAAGCAGTTTAAAGCACCCTTCCACCTGCTTCCAGCTTTTAGCTTTTAAGTGATTAATTTAAGCAGAAGCTGTCATTTGAAAACACTCTTTTTAACTTTTTTAAAGCCAAAAGCTGAAAAACGCTTTTTTTAAGCAACCGCAAACACTCCTTCATTAAGTCTATATTTTTGACACATCTGTTCTCACTTTCACGTGAGAAAAATAATCATAGCATGCTTATTTAGACCAATTTTGGCATATTCAATACCTTAACAATTTTATTTCTATCTATATTGTTTTATTGATGTTTCAGGTTATGTGTGATTCTGTTGGAGTTGGCAAAGATTGAAGCAAAAGTTTCATTCTGTGCACGTCTGCAAAAGATGATATGTGAATGCCCTAGGAAGTGTGGTGTAAAAGTTAGACTTGTTAGCGTTTTGTTCTTGTATATTAGTTGTTGTTTCGGGGTGTGCCCCCATGAATTATGTAGTATGTACATTCACATTTATGTGAGAAATTGAAATATAAATAAAAATCTTTGAATTTTGGTTATTAATTAGTATTAAATTATATTACACACACATATATTGAAATATAGATATATATATATATATATATATATATATATATATATATATATACTTATGATACTAAAGTATCATATATATTTATGATACCAGAGTGTCAAAAAAAGTTATGATATTATAACGTCATAATTTTATGTGATATTTTATTGTCATACTTTTGTGACACTAATTTGTTTAGCAATTAGTGACACTAAATTTTGTGTCACTTGCCCCGCTTTTCTGTGACACTTTCAGTGAGTCATTAAATCGTTTAGTGACACTAGTTTAGTGTCACTATAACTCATTTTTTTTACTAGTGTTAGCTTTACATACATTTACTAATTTCAGTTTAATTATTTCATTAAACGACCGAATCCTACTATTAAGATCAATGCATAACGTTTGTTCGATATCGACTAATTAATTGTAAGAGTAATTAAGGATTCAAGAGCGGAGAGTTAAAGTATTAATTGTGATCAACAAGCACTTCACTAAGTGGAAAATAACAAAATTAAACAAGACTCATTACTTTTGATGTTTTGATTCATTCATCTATGTGTTTTATTTGCCTTCTCAATATTAATTCTTTCTCCAAATCAATCTCTATATCAACATTCCCTTCATTAAAGAGGTCTCAAATCCAAAGAATCTCAATTAACCAAAGCAAAGCAGATGCTATGATTCTTTGCTCAAACCTATATCATCAATAGAATTCAACTCCTAGGACAATCCCTAAGAAACAGAATGTTCTAACATCAACTTATAATAATGCCTCTGAAATGGAATACTCATTCCTAAAGGGACTATCCTCACGATTATGAAAATGATCCCACTCAAGGGGGAAAACCAGCCCCACCCGTAGTACTTATTTCTTTTATCAAATTGGTTGCTCATTGTCGCAACTCCTTCGTACTTTTCTTTTTCTCCCTAGGGTTGCCTCAACGCAACACCTAGCTTGGATTGTCCGGCGGTGATCAATTTGATCACCGTGTCAGTGTTCATTTCTTTCTGTTTTCCCCGGCTTGAAAGGAGCAGTGTTTCGAGCTCGTTTGCAGTCCTATCACGGTTGTTGAAGAATCAGAAGTTGCAATTTGCTTAGGTATGTTTTCAAGCCGGAGTATGGTTTCGATTCAGCAGCAAGGGATGTCAAAAGAGGATATTGTCATTCAATACAAAAGCATGACTATTGAGGCAGATGAGCGGCGGGCGCGTCCCCCTCCTGAGCCGCTGCCATGGAGTGCAAGCAAGGCTAGGGTTTGGAAGAAGATATGTGAACTCTGTTTTAATTACGTTTTATGTTGTTTGTGTTTTTCTTTCGAATTGCATGTTGTTTTGGATGTGTTCTTATTTCCTAGCAGAGAGATTCTATATTTTAAGTCAGGTGATGAGAAATCTGGTTTGCTAGTCATTGGCTCAATTAAGCCCATTACAGGATCAGCGAATATTATTGATTCTACAGAGGTAATATATTCGAAGTCTGGTTCGAGGGTGGACGACAGACATAAGGCTTTTTATGGTTTTGTTTACTTCTTTTTCTTGGATTGTATTATCAGCCATGTGACGAACGTTATTTTGATTTAATATATTTGTTGGATTTGATGATAAAAAAAATTGGATGCTCATTCAATCCCATCCAAAAAATGCATGATCCCTTCTTCTCCATCCCGTCTTTCTGAAATAAATAAATTACCATGTCCGTTCTCAGTTATGTGAATGAATTCTACAAAAAATAGCATCATAAAGTATGAAATTGGAACTATTTAGCTCAAGCTTAGGACATGCCCTTTAACCTAATAATAAGTGTGGGATAGAATCCTTTAATCAATTAATCTTTTCAAAATCTAGATCTATAGCAGAGATAATTTCATGTTTTTTTCTGAAATGCAAATACCATTTTTATCAATAATGTCGAACCTAAGCAATTTGCTTTAAATTAAAACTTCAAACCCATCTGCTTGGGAAGGGTTTGCAACATGTAGTTGATTTCTAAACATGAGAAATGAGAAAGTTTCACTTTATGCATTTCTACACAATGGCAGAAAGCTAGAAAAGTTTCATTTTATTTGTTTTTCCAAAAATATATTTAGGCATATTTCTTTCCTTTGTATTTTGGACTCTCTCACAGCTGGTCATCGGCTTGCGGCGGGAGATTGCTGGAGAGATGAAGGGGCTGGCCGGTTGCCATGAAAACTGTGGCGGGAACGTACTGGCACTACAAACAAATTGCCCTATAGTAACTGTAAGAAAACTGTTGGTATAGATATATAAACCGCGGGAATAGACCTCAATTGGCTATACCAGTGAAAATGTGTGCAATTCCAACAAAAATTAGAGTGTTGCTATACATTTCATAGGTATAGACCAATGCCAACATTTTTTCTTATACTAACAGGCTTGAAACAATTTCACTTAATTTTTTGCTATAGCAATGGTTGATATATCGTACCGTTGGTATTGTTCTATTTTATGTAGCCACAATTAATTATTGATTCCCATAAACAGTCACCCACAATTCAAAATAGAATTACAATTTGCGATAAAAAATATCATTCCAAAAATCATTCAAATCTACTAATAAAAATCTTTTTATAAAGTGAATTACATTCATAATACTCAATACAAATTAGCATCACGTAATAATGCTGATTTTTTTGACATAACATACATGAAATTCAAAAATATAAACTTAATAATTAACTAGATTAAAATGTGCTTTCTAGACATTTACTAGTAAAAAAATGTATAGTTGAGTACCTATGCTAGGATTCTGCCAACAAGTGTTCTGCCAGAACCCATCATTCCTGAGATGTAATATGCACAGGGGACGGATCCAGGATTTCTATTCAAGGGGGGCGAAATTTTTCGGTAGTGTAGGGGGTGAAAAAAATTTCGTTAGTGTAGTGGGGCAAAATTTTTTCCCTAGTGTAGCGGGGCGAATTTTTTCTGCTACTGTAAAGCTATGCGGCTAATTTCATTCAAAAAATGACATTAATACATACACATCCCCAACGACATTTAAATCTATTAAGGGAGTGTTTGCAACTGCTTCTGCTTAAAAAAAGCACTTTTGGAGATGTAATGAAAAAGTGATTAGTAGTAAAAGTTGATAAAGTTTGAGAAAAAAGTGATTTTGAAAAGTAAAAGTTGGTAGTGTTTGGTAAAATAAGTGCTTTTTGTGTAATAGAAAAGGGAAAAGCACTTTTCACACGCAAGCCGAGAAAAAGTAAAAATTGGAAGTGTTTGGTAAATAAGTGCTTTTTTAAGCCAAAAGCTGAGAAGTGCTTTTTTTAAGCTATTGCAAACACTCCCTAAGTAGTACATTCTAAGTTTAAATTAGACGATGACAAAGACATCAACCAATACATTTTTAATAACTTCTACATTGTTTAACCTCATAAATCGGTTATTATTGAATTGTAATTTTTGTCCGGCCACCAAGGAGGGTGTTCGTGAGTCATGACTCATGAGAAGTTTTCTTAATATCACAATAGTACGTAGTATGTATGATATTATTATTTTTAGAATAATATGCACCACATACACACACATATATGGTGCATATTATATTTTAATATTTGTATTAATGCTCTAATAATTTAAAGTTTATTATCTATGCAATAAATTATTTTTAGAAAGCAAGAAGTAAATGAATTATGTAATTTAATGTCAATAAACATTTATATTTTGGATTCATTTCACGTGATCTAAAAACTGTGTAATTAGTGTGTCTGATATTTAATATTGTTTGATATATATTTTACAAAATCAAGTACTTGTTATCTAATAAATATAATTAAACACTACAAAACTAGGAATTCTTATATAATAAGTATCCTAAATCTTAAACAACGAGTTATTCTATTGTTTATTTGTTTAAGTTATGTAATTATTTTAGATGTTCCTTCTTTTAAATCTTCAATTAAGTATTACATTATGTAACACTATATATTAATTTTGAAAATTAAAAGATAAGGGGGGCGAATCTAATTAAATTATGAAAGTTTTATGAAAATATTACATATATGGTAGAAATTTTTGAAAGTCCAAGGGGGGCGGTCGCCCCCCGCGCCCCCCCCCTAAATCCATCCCTGAATATGCATATCAAACAATTGAATCAAAATATAGACAATACATGCCCATTTGGTAAGGGCCATTTGGCTAAAATAGCAGAATCTATCTGATCTGCTTATATTTACTGAAAGTAAAAGCGTTTGGTAAAACCAATTTCTGCCAAATGGCCAAGTCAAATGCATTACTTGTTCTGCTTTATTCTATTGATAAGTAGAATAAGCCTACCAAACAGGGCACAATAGCTATACTACAAAATATTGGCAATGGAGCTCACCGACAAGATATATACATCTACCACTCAAATATTGTAAAATCTCTCCAGATTTGCTCTGTCACAAAAACTAGTATTGTACCCGTGCGATGCACGGGAGAATAAAATTTGTAAGTCAAGGAGAATTTTTTTAATATAAACTTTTGTCATATAAACACAAATATTTTGTCATATAAATTGTGGATGATTTTTTTTAGTTTACAAAAGAATATACTCCGTGTGTGTATGATATCTCCAATTTTGGAACATTTCTTATACGAAACCGTCACAAACTGCATGGTTGATCATTTCTAGTTTAAGAAAGAATTAACACTTTTAAATTAAAACTTATCATCAAATGTTGAATATAACACATCCATAATTTGACAGTTATCATCAATGGCGTCATTATATGATATATATTCTAGGGAAAATCACATTTTTAGTCCCTCGAATATACTACAAATATTGAAATGTAATCTCCGTGTTTTTCTGATGTGTAAATGTAACCCTCAATTGTCTGAATTAATGTAAATGTAGTCCTCGCCCACATTGTAATTTTCATTCCTCAAAGGACTATATTTACAGCAATTTGAACAGTTGGGAGTGAGATTTATAAATTTGAAAGGACATGGATTACATTTCAATATCGATACTATTTGAGGAACTGAAAGTGCGATTTTCCCTATATTCTAATAAAAAATGTTTCTCAAAATATACCTGAAGTAATTTTTGTCTAAAGAATCGTGCTATTTCAAATGAGAACCTTGAGTCGGGACGGAGGTAATACTAAATTAGATATTTATATGTGAGAAGTAAATGTTATATTAACCAAATAGTATAATTATATTTAAAAAATCAAAGTTTATATTCAATATTTCTCAACCACACATATTAAAAAATTGAAATGTGACTCTATTAGATATTGTGCAAAAACAATATTAGCTTATTTTGTTTTGAAAGAAGCAATATCAGTTTATTCATAATTTTGTGAAAATGAATCGACATGTGGTAATCAATCGACATGTGATAATGATAATGATGATGATGATGATGATGATGATAATAATAATAATAATAATAATAATAATAATAATAATAATAATAATAATAATAATAATAATAATAATAATAATAATAATAATAATCATAATAATAATAATAATAATAATAATAATAATAATAATAATAATAATATAATAATAATAATATTAATAATAATAATAATAATAATAATAATAATAATAATAATAATAATAATAATAATAATAATAATAATAATAATAATAATAATAATAATAATAATAATAATAATAATAATAATAATAATAATAATAATAATAATAATAATAATAATAATAATAATAATAATAATAATAATAATAATAATAATAATAATAATAATAATAATAATAATAATAATAATAATAATAATAATAATAATAATAATAATAATAATAATAATAATAATAATAATAATAATAATAATAATAATAATAATAATAATAATAATAATAATAATAATAATAATAATAATAATAATAATAATAATAATAATAATAATAATAATAATAATAATAATAATAATAATAATAATAATAATAATAATAATAATAATAATAATAATAATAATAATAATAATAATAATAATAATAATAATAATAATAATAATAATAATAATAATAATAATAATAATAATAATAATAATAATAATAATAATAATAATAATAATAATAATAATAATAATAATAATAATAATAATAATAATAATAATAATAATAATAATAAGAACAACAACAACAACAACAACAACATGAATAATAAGAATAATAGTAATAATAATATTAATAATAATAATAATAATAATAATAATAATAATAATAATAATAATAATAATAATAATAATAATAATAATAATAATAATAATAATAATAATAATAATAATAATAATAATAATAATAATAATAATAATAATAATAATAATAATAATAATAATAATAATAATAATAATAATAATAATAATAATAATAATAATAATAATAATAATAATAATAATAATAATAATAATAATAATAATAATAATAATAATAATAATAAGAACAACAACAACAACAACAACAACATGAATAATAAGAATAATAGTAATAATAATATTAATAATAATAATAATAATAATAATAATAATAATAATAATAATAATAATAATAATAATAATAATAATAATAATAATAATAATAAT